AGGTCCTTTGGGGTGGATGGATGGATGGATGGATGTCCCCCAGGATGAGGATTTCCTGGGGTGGGAGGATGCTCCCAGGATGGGGGGCTGTCTGAGGTGGGAGGATCCTCTAGGGATAAGGATCTCAGGATTCTCCAGGATGGAGATTCCCTGGGGTGGGTGGACACTCCCTAGGATGGAGCTCCCTTGGGGTGGATGGATGTCCCTCGGGATGGAGATCCCCTGAGATGGGACAACATCCCCCAGGATAAAGGTTCCTTGGAGTGGGAGGACATCCCCTGAGGTGGAAATTCCCTGGGGTTGGGAGGATGTCCCCGAGGAGGGAGATCCCTTGGGGCATATGGATTTGGGGAGAAACACCAATAAATATCACATTTGAACTGTTTCACTCTGGTCTGGGGTGGGGGGAAGAGCTGCCCCCCAAGACCAGCAGCCAACACACAAACTGTCCCCAATCACTGCTGCCAACACCCACATCCCTTTGTCCCAACCCTAAATCCAGGCTTTACTCCAGCTCAGCTCCATGGGAGGCGCAGGGAAGACAGAGGAAAACACGACTTGACAGCTTGTCATCGATTCCCAAATTTCCACCCCCCAAAAAAAAAAAGCTGCTCCTCTGGTTTTGGAATCCAAACAAACACGTGGAGGTTTTCAGCCCCCTCAGGGAGTGGAGGGGGAGCCGCTGCCGGTCCCCTCGTCCTCAGCTCCTGTTTGACATTTTCCATTTGTAAAAAATAGCACGGAAATAATAATAATAATAATAATAATTAAAAAAAGAATTTCCCAAAAAAAGCCATTTGGAGCCAAAAAAAAAAAAAAAGGGAGCTTCTTTGCAGCAAGATGAACTGTTTGGGTTCCCCTCCACACAGAGCTGTTCACACCAAGGTTTGGTGCCCTGTCGCCCCAAAACTCCTCTTTAAATCCTGGGAAAGGGGATGTTTGGGTGGTGGGGAATAACCCAACGGGGATTTTGAGGGAAAACTGTGGGATCAGGGAGGGGCAATGAGCCAAGGATGGGTCTGCAGGAGCTTACACTGGGAGAGCAGAGAGCTGTGGCGTTGCAGGGCTCGTGGGGATCTCCGTGGAGCCGCCGGCAGCGAGGAGGAAGAGGAGGAGGAGGAGGAGGAGGAGGAGGAGGAGGAGGAGGAGGAAGCCCGTGAGGAAGACGGCGAGGAAGACGAGGGGCTGCGTTCCCGGCTCCCGCTGAACATGTCTCTACAAACTAAAATGGACAACATGGAGCTGAGGAGCATCGATGCGATGGCCGTGAACTTCCATACCCTCATCTTAGAGCGGGTCAGGACATTGGAGCTCTGCAAAACAGGCCAAACAAAAAGTCCTTATTACGTGGCCCTCGCCCCCCCCC